ATGTCGTCAGCACGATCTTGCCTACGCTACGGAGAAGAAGGGTCAACGTCTAAAAACCGATCGGTCATTGAGTGAATTTGCTTTTTCGCGTATGCTTGCCGGAGAAACACCGCCGAATGAGCGAACAGTCTCTTTATTGACAGTATGCTACACGTGTAGCAAGATTAAATTTGCGAAGTTTTTTTCGCGCATCAAGAGGTCCATTGGCCCTAAGTTTAATAAGAAGAAAAAGAAAAATAAGGAATAATGCATAGGACTTTGCAAAAACTTTACTACAAAGCGGGGCGACCAACTGCATACGCTGGTGGTAACAAACTTGTAAGTGCTGTAAAAGATAAATTTTTCGATCGAACGTTATTAGTTGGCTAGAGAGTCAAGATACCTATAATTTACATACGCCTATAAGAAATCGCTTTCCCAAAAGAAGCTATAACGTGCGTAACTTTGACGACGTGTGGGAAGCTGATTTAATGGACTTGAGAACCTTCAAACCTTACAATGATGGCTACGCTTATGTTCTCGTTGTCATTGATGTCGTCAGCAAATACGCTTGGGCGGTACCTATCAAGGATAAAACATCGAAAAACGTTGCCAAAGCATTTTAACATATTTTATCAAGAAGCGACGATCGTACACCAATGTGTCTCCAAAAGGATAAAGGTAAAGAATTTTTAGGTCGTGAAATGCAATCCGTTTTACGAGAAAATTAAATTAAATACAGAGTAGCACGTAGCCCACAGACAAAGGCAGAAATAGCCGAACGTTTTATAAGAACTATTAAAGAAAGAATGTGGCGATACTTTACACATACAAACAATCGACGCTTCGTAGACATTCTTCCCAGTATAGTAGAGTCATACAACCGCACGCAGCATTTTTCGTCAACAAAAATGGCGCCAGCTGACGTGACTTTGCACAATGTTGCACGAGTACAAGAAAACATAAAGCAACGTTATGGTAGGCATATTTATGAAAATCCAAAGTACAACGTTGGAGATTTAGTTCGTATCAATAAGACGAGAAGTTTCTTCCCTTCTGATTGATATTTTGTAATCACATATGTAATTCCATCTGTATTTACACTTGTAAAGTCACTTGGAATTCTACTTGGAATTCCACATGGGATTTTGGATTGGAAACTCCAAGTGTCATTCCAAGTGGCATTCCAAGTGGAATTACAAATAACCACTAAAGGTACATTTTTTCCTTTTTTAAAATAGTTAAAATTGAAATTTCAAGCGGTTTAATGGCCCTAGTTAATGTTATCATCCATATAGTAACACCAAAGCAGAGGGGTTCAAGTCATTTCAAGAAAATTTGAACGAAAAATAAAAAAATCTATTTTTTCGAAATCTAAGAACAAATACTTCAACCCCTCTGATTTGGTGTTACTATACGGATGATAACACCTGATGCGGCCATTATACTGCTTGTAATTTCAATATTAACTGTTTTAAAAAAGGAAAAAATGTATCTTCAGTGGTCATTTGTAATTCCACTTAGAATGCCACTTGAAATGACTCTTGGAGTTTCCAATCCAAAATCCCATGTGGAATTCCAAGTGGAATTCCAAGTAGAATTCCAAGTGACTTTACAAGTGTAAATACAGATGAAACTACATATGTGATTACAAAATATCAATCAGTAGGATTAAACGTACTGTATAAATTGACAACTTGCTTATTTTTTAAAATCGACAAGCAATGCAATAAGCAATGTCGTCTTGGAATACTTGGTTATGAATTCTCATATGATTTTAAAATGGAAAAAATGGAAAGTTGTATCTTCAAACGTGTAACAACTTTGATTGGAGTAATTTTTTGAATTTCTTGAAACATCTTTGATTTTAACCATTTTATTTTGAGAAGTAGTAGCTGAATAAAAAAAAGAATTAGTTTCATCACGAAAAATAATCGCAAACTCAGTTTCAACCTGCAAACATTTTATTCATTATATTAAATATTTTGTAATGCAACAATTCAAGTCTGCTACTAGAGTTATTCTAGTCTTCTTATGAAGAAATACGTTTCTTGTGCACCATCCCGTCTACAGACATGTAAGAATTCCATAACCTGGTCATGGCCCCACTGGCTCTTGTTTTGAAGCCTACAGTCAATTAAATGAGTAGAAGAAGATATGAAAACTCTAGTATCTGTATGATCAAATCTCATTCTGCACTAAGGCTGCAGTCACATGGAGGTCAATAAAGTGTGCAGGATAGAATTCTCCCCATAAGTGGCTGTGTTGACTCTATTGCGCTGCAGGATAGCCCTATTGCTCGGCGCAATAGACTCAAGACAGTCGCTTATGAGGACAATTATTTCCTGCAAGCTCTATTGCGCTCCATGTGACTGCAGCCTTAGACCACAATGTCCAAAATTATTTGGGAGATTTGTGACTGCAAGGCTCCGGAGTGGGAACACTTTTTTTTACTTTTTTCCACTAGTTTAAGGAGGTTGGATACATATCGACAATAGTTATGGGTTCTAATTTAGTTTTTGATTCATTCTATGTGTTATAAAACACAAACGTACTTTTTGTGGGCGATCTAAGCCATGTAGTTATTAAGATATTTCAAAAACAAAAATGAACAATTCAACCCGGGCAGTTATGGGAACAATGTTGTGACCTAAAAATGACATTCCTTATTAATAGTTAAAAAATCGACAAAAATTATATTTTGATACTTAAAATACTGCAGATTCATATGATCCTCTGATTTTTGTCAGTATCTATACTAATTAAAGAGAAAATTATGATTTTTGGAAATTAAAATGAAAACTTTGGTTAGATTTATAAGATGGATGCATGTATTCCAAAAGAATATGCTGTTTAACCTTCTGTCGGTAATGCTGTGACCTTCCCACACCCTTGACCCCGCTTCACCGCCCCTCTGAAAGATTGTATCTAATCTCCTCAAACGCGCCGTCACGGCCAAGCGGCCAAACCAGATGCACATTTTTTTTTATGTGCGAAGCATGGTAGGGGTATGCGCCTACCAAGAGCGTAGTAGACGTGCGTAAAAATGTGCACATGGGGCTAGCGAGTTGGCAAGCTCAGCTCAGAGGGCGTTAGATAGAAGAGGATGCAACGAACAGTATTGAAGCATTTCTGGACAGAAAGTATATCTATATACGTAGCACCATGTTTGAAAGAGATACATTTTTGTATTACAAACCGGAGGTTCTTCTCTCTAGCGCCTTCTGAGCTGAGCTTGTCAACTTGCTAGCCCCATAGGCGCACATTATGAAGACGCGTAAAAGGAGTACACCGAATATGCGCCTACGAGGAGAGATGTGGAAATGTTGGCTATAGCTGTATTCCTTATCAGTATTGGGTAAAGAGGGTTCCCGCAGTGACAATTACTGTCAGTGACATAAAAGTCACGGTCACTAACATATCTATATTTAGAGAGTTGGAGAAGCAATAGTCAGAGGAGGAGGGGGGATTCCAGAGGTTCTCATCACTGTTGACTTGCCCAAGACGACGACACAGCAGAGAGTAGAAAGAGATGCAAGACCAAAACAGTCGTCTTCCTCTGTCTACTGACCGTCCGCTTCCCCTTACAGAAGAATATACAGTTCGCTTCCTCTATTGTATTATCTCTATGGCTTTGAAACGTGCAATTGCAAAGGAGCTAAGAAGAAAAAGAAATACATGGCTCCAATATTCGTGCAAATTACGACGGGTTATTGGGTTATTGGGTTAAATTCAAAAGACTGAGGACTAAAACATTTAAAATATTCTCACAGGTTCATTAAATTAACGCTATTTTTTCCCTACTGTATTTTTTTACATTGTGAAAATAATTTGTTTTTTAAAAAAAAAAAAGTTACCACTGTTGTACGACATTATAGTATTTTTTATTCTCCTCGTCTAAGAATTCATTTCTTGAAGTACAGTATATTACGCACACCTAGTGAGCGAGGTTAAGGAGCAAAGCAGAACTTATACTTAAAGCATTTTCGGTAGGGTATGCAGAAAATATACTCTATAAAAGTTGCCTAGGTATAGGGCCAAGCTAAGCTGCGTTACATCACGCCATCTGCCTCTATACTTTTGCCTCGCTAGGATCTAGCTAGGCTAGTTAGGCTGCCTAAGTAGGCACAAGCTAGACCCCTGCTAAGCAATCCCTGACTTTGAATTCTGATATCTCTATGAATCTATATATTGGCTACAGTAAATTTTTGTGAACTTATCGTGTCACTTTTGCTTTTTCGCACTAGGTGTCACTTAGGAAACGAACACCAAACAGACGCAGTTACTGGTTGCTGCATAGACATAAAAAATATAGACTGCTCATTCTTACGTATGGCACTGAAGCGTCTGAAGCACAAGTAAAAGGAGACACAACATCGAACGCGGCCATCTGTCTTTTTTGTACGTTGCCAGAGGTGGAAATGTGCGAGAGACCCACACCCACGTTCGGTGCTGTGTCTCCTTCTACTTGTGCTTCAGCGCGTACATAATAACGAGCAGTCTATTTTAGTTTATTATGTGTCTATGGATGAATGCGACTATCGCAATCGCATGTCACAGTAGTAATGCTATACGTGGTATTCGACTCTCGTTCGCCATCTGCTGGAAGTTGATCAAACAGCACAAATGTTTCACAGAAATTATGCCTAATGCCTACATGGGACCACCTGTGTATCTCACACCGTGACGTCCGTGACTGGGATCAACTATTGGGAGTTGAACGAATCCTGTACACTGTATGTAACAATAACTCTAATTTCGAAACATCACCTATTTTTGTACGTACAAATATGCAAGGTTTTGTTCGCTCATTTAGACCAAACATTAATATAGGAAATCTGTGGAGTTTGTCTATTACTCTATTTCGGGTTACTGATAGTGTTACCGAAAAATTAATTCATAATGCGTATGCCACTTTTAACAACAACTTGGATATCCTTAACAAGGAAAAGCAAAAACTTGTTGAAACACAGTCAGAGTTAGGTACCAATTATGCCACTACTGGTTCCATGCATGTGCATACGCATGCAAATATTCGAAAACCGGAAAGTAATACTTCAATGCCCTTTGATCGCTTACTGAGATATTCTAAACTAATGCATGTAAGTTACTTAATTATAGTGTTAGTTTGTTTTTTATACTTATTATTGTGTTTTTCCTGGCTCTAAGAAAATTACGTTATGTAGCGTGTTAAATATTGTGATGAATCGTGTCACTTAATTAAACATGACAACATCTAATGAGACCAAAATCATGAAATAATAACTTCCAAATAAACTTTTCGAAAAATATTAAATGTAGAAGATTGAGCTACTCAATTGATAAAGAAATTCAGTTCCCTTCTGATTAATATTTTGTAATCACATATGTAATTCCATCTGTATTTACACTTGTAAAGTCACTTGGAATTCTACTTGGAATTTCACATGGGATTTTGGATTGGAAACTCCAAGTGTCATTCCAAGTGGCATTCCAAGTGGAATTACAAATAACCACTAAAGGTACATTTTTTCCTTTTTTAAAATAGTTAAAATTGAAATTTCAAGCGGTTTAATGGCCCTAGTTAATGTTATCATCCATATAGTAACACCAAAGCAGAGGGGTTCAAGTCATTTCAAGAAAATTTGAACGAAAAATAAAAAAATCTATTTTTTCGAAATCTGAGAACAAATACTTGAACCCCTCTGATTTGGTGTTACTATATGGATGATAACACCTCATGCGGCCATGATACTGCTTGTAATTTCAATTTTAACTATTTCAAAAAAGGAAAAAATGTATCTTCAGTGGTCATTTGTAATTCCACTTGGAATGACTCTTGGAGTGCAGGCACGAGGAGAGAGGAGAGAGCCGGTGCTATATATATGTAGCTCTAGTAGCTGCGACGCACTCGATCGCCTTCCGGCTGAAATATCCACTTCAGCTTTTGGCCCGAAAATTTTTCTAAGTCCTAATAACATTAATACGGGGAAAAAAAATTTGTTCTCCAGACATGATGTTTTTTATACATTATCTACGATTTCCTAGCGAATAAACATAGTCTCCAGTAACATTTTTTTCCAAATTAAAATCTTATTTTTCTTATTTTATTGGTTTTAAAATTTTATTTCGTTGTAGAAAATATGTTATGTATTGCATAGCTGTGCGGAGGGGCAAGAGAGGGGCGAACAGTTGAACACACAATGGATCGGCTTTTTATATTTGAATTGCGACACAATTTCAAAGTCCCAAAAAAAAACTGATAATGGTTAAATAAAAAAGTCTCTGAGAAATGATTTTTGAATGACATTTTCCAATGAAAAGAAATAGAGAACAACTTATTGTGAAGCATACGATCAAAAATAAATATTAAATTGATAGTAAACAAAATTTATTTATTCGCAAAAATCATAAATGCTACTATCTGGAGTATACATATTGAGGGAGGACTGAGTATGGTACCCCACATGACCTTCTTCCGTCGTTTCCTCTTGCATGTCGACAACGTCATTAATCACATCATCGAAAGAGTCTTCATCAATTACTGGTCTCGTGGTGGAACCATTTTCACAATTGTCTCCGTTGCAATTTTTACACATACGTGTACACATCAAACCTGCTTTTTTGCACGTGCATTGTTTTGTTTGACAATTTTTACGACAGGAGCAGAAAATCTGTGAGGAAGAAAATTTAATATTTAACTAACTAACGTGACCAAGAATTTGCCTTTATTTTGACTAAACACTAATGATATATCATTGCATACCTGTCGCAAAACGTCATTAGGAGCTGGCGTTTGTGTGATTATTATCGGAAATAAAATGGTCTTTGTCTTTCTCCACCCCCAATGTGTGGGCTC